GAGAGTTACTTGAATATTAACAACAGGTCAGCATCAGAGGGGACAAGGAGCCGGGCCATTGAGTTACTTTGCATGTCAGTAACAGCAGGATAGCTTCATACTTCTTATGCAAAGACGGTTATTGTGCATATCAACAAAGCTAACCAGGAGCGTTTGTATAACTGAAACCCAGGATGTAACTGGGCAAAGCAGCTCCCCCAGTTGCAGCTCCTGCAGGAGTCAGAGATGGGATTGTGGGAGAGGATTGCCGCCGAGGTACGCATGGCATCCCTGTTAGAGGCTTTAGACCACGCAGTTTTGGGAGCAGAGTTGGAGTTCCCTTGACCATGTGACTTAGGAAGCAGGAAAGCAAGATGTAGCAGCCATGTAGGCAGCTCCTTCTGGTTACAGCATGTGTGCACGAGAGCCCAAGATGGTTTGCTCCATACCCGAGGAAACAATGCCTAAACCATGCAGGAAGGAAAGGGGAGAAAGGACTCTTGCTAGTGGGCCATGAGAAGGTGCTCTTACCGAACAGAAGGACCCATGGGAGGGGATGGCCAGATGCTGTTACCGAAGCGACACCCTCCTTCCCTGGGATCCCTCGGTTGTGGGTCCTTTGCCCGCCGCCCTTGGAATTATGGCTCTGAATGGCAGAGTTTGGTGAAAAGGAAAAGGAACTATTTATTCAAAAGTTATACAAGTTTGATTAATGACTAAATGTCACCTTTAAACCTCAAGATCCCTTCAAAACAACCACCAGCACACACACCGTCCTGCCTTCCCCCCTTTGCCCAGTTAGGCCAGTCAGGCCAGTCAGGGTACCGTCCTTCAGAAGAAAAAAAAAAAGAACAGAAGTCTGGGGCTCGGCTAGGCAGCCCTCTCGAGTGTCTGAGCACCATCCACTGTGTCACCGCGATCTCCAGCTCTTAATCCATAACAATGTGGCACCTTCTCCTGGCCCACGAGCAAGAGTCCTTTCTCCCCTCTCTCTTCCCACGTGGTCTTCACACTGTTCCCCAGAGTCTGTGTCCCTTTGTCTCTCCTGCAGGCCCCTGTCTCCCCTCTCTCTCTCTCCCAGTTACATTCTGTACAGTCTTTTAAACCTTCCTGATTAGCTTAGGTGATATGCCAAATAATCCTCTTTGCATATAAGGAATGAATATCCTGTTATTGACATGCAAAATGACACTCAATGGCCCTGCTCAAGGCTCCCATCCCCCATGGTGGCCTGCTCTGGGGTGGGGAGAATATATTTTTCTTGGACACCCCAATCTCTGGACCCCGTTACAAATACCCTTTTGGGTGGCCCTGGCTGTGCCCTGTTACAGTGCCACATGGTTCTGAATTAAGAACTGGAGATCGAGGCAACACAGCGGATGGTGCTGGGAAAAGTGAGGGTCCTACCTAGCCGAGCACCAGACTTCTGTTCTTTTTCTTCTGAAGGTTGGTACCCTTGACTGGCCTGACTGGACAAAGGAGGGAAGGCAAGATTGTGTGTGTTGGTAGGTGTTCTAAAGGGATTTTGAGATTTAATGGCAACATTTAGTCATTAATCCAAACCTGTATAACTTTTGAATAAATACCTCCTTTCCTTTTCACCAAACTCTGCCATTGAGAGCCATAGTTTTCCAGGGCAGTAGGCAAAGGACCTAGAACAGAGGAACCCCAGGAAAGAGGGAGCATTGTTCCAGTAATAGCATCTGGGGCTCCTCCCCAAAATGGGTCCATGTTCGGTAACAGTATTATGTGTTCACCACCCCAAGTCAAGTCTCATTCCATTATCATTTATCCCCCCTTTACTTTCTTCTACCTTCCGGCTGCCCCTTTCCCTCTGGTAATCACTATACTGTTGTCTGTGTCTATGAGATTTTTTTCTTTTTTTTTTTTGCTTAATCCCTTCACCTTTTACACCCAGCCCTTCAACCACCCCTGTAACAGGGCACAGCCAGGTCCCCGCCCAGGGGATATTTGTGACGGGTTCCAGAGATTGGGGTGTCCAAGAAAAATATATTCTCCCCACCCCAGAGCAGGCCACCATGGGGGATGGGAGCCTTGAGCAGGGCCACTGAGAGTCATTTTGCATGTCAATAACAGGATAGCTTCATTCCTCATATGCAAAAAGGGTTATTTTGCATATCACCAAAGCTAATCAGGAAGGTTTAAAAGACTTAATGCGGAATGTAACTGGGAGATGAAGGAGGAGAGACAGAGGCCTGCAGGAGAGAAGAAGGGACACAGACTCTGGGGAACAGTGTGAAGACCACGTGGGAAGAAAGAGGGGAGAAAGGACTCTTGCTGGTGGGCCATGAGAAGGTGCCACATGGTTATGGATTAAGAGCTGGAGATCGTGGCGACGCAGTGGATGGTGCTGGGAACCGCAAGTGGCCTGCCTAGCCAAGACCTGGACTTCTGGTTTTTCTTCTGAAGGTACCCTGACCGGCCTGACTGGCCTAACTGAGCAAAGTGGGGAAGGCAGGACTGTGTGTGTGCTGGTGATTGTTTTAAAGGGATTTTGAGATTTAAGGGCAACATTTAGTCATTAATCAAACCTGTATAACTTTTGAATAAATAGTTCCTTTCCTTTTCACCTAACTCTGCCATTGAGAGCCATAATTCCAAGGGTGGCGGGCAAAGGACCCACAACCGAGGGACCCCAGGGAAGGGGGGGTGTTGTTTTAGGAATAGCATCTGGGCACCGCCCCCACCCACGGATCCGTTTGTTGGGTAACACCCCTTCCCTCTGACCGCTGTCAAGTTTGTTTTCTATGTGTCTGTTTCTATTTTGGTTGTTAGCTTATTTTGTTATTAGATTCCACACGTAATAAAAATTATATGGCATTTGTCTTTCTCTGACTGCTTCATTTCACTTACCATAGCATTCTCCAGCTCCATCCACACTATCACAAAGAGTAAAATTTCTTTTTCTTCTCTTTTTTTATGACTGAGCAGCATTCCCTTGTGTAAATTTACCACAGCTTTTTATCTACTCATCTACTGTTGGACACTTGGGCTGCTTCCCAATCTTGGCTATTGTAAGTAATGCTGCAATGAACATAGGGGTATATATATTGTATCAAATTAGTACTTCAGGTTTCTTCAGATATATTCCCAAAATTGAAATTGATGGATCATAAGGAAGTTCCATTTTTAATTTCTTTTTAAAAATTTTTACTTTTTTAAAGGTTTTATTTATTGTTATAGAGAGGGGAAGGGAGGGAGAAAGAGAAGGAGAGAAACATCAATCTGTGGTTGCCTCGCATGCACCCCCCTACTGCAGAACTGGCCTGCAACCCAGGCATGTGCCCTAGAATGGGATCAAACCAGCAACACTTGGGTTCACAGGCCGTTGTTCAATCCACTGAGCCAGGGCCATTTTTAATTCTTTGAAATAATTCTATACCGCGCTCCACAGTGGCTGCACCAATCTACATTCCTACCAACAGTGCACTAGGGTTTTCTTTTCTCCACATCCTCACCAACATTTGTTTATTGATGTATTGAGGAAAGCCATTCTGACAAGGGTGTAGTGTATCTCATTTGTGTTGCGTTTCTCTGATGGTTAGTTACATTGATCATAAGTTTAATATGTCTATGGGCCATGGCTATCAGTACGTTCTCTTTGGAGAAGCGTCTATTTAGGACCTTTGCCCACTTTTTAATTGGATTGTTTGTCTTTCTGGTGTTGAGTTGTATAAGTGCTTTATAAACTTTTGATATTAACCCTTATTATATCATTGGTGAATCTGTTCTCCCGTCCAGTGGATTGTCTTTTCATTTTGTTGATGGTTTCCTTTGCTTTGCAAAAACTTTCTAGTTTGATGTAATTACATTTGTTTATTTCTTCTTTTGTTTCCCTTGTCTGGGGAAATTATCAGAAAAAATATTGCTACAAGAAATGCCAGAGTTTTTACTACCTATGTTTTCTTAAAGAACTTTATGATTTTGTGTCTTACATTTGTCTTTATTCCATTTTGAGTTTATTCTACTGTAATGTGTAAGAAGGTAGTCTAGTTTTAATTTTAGCATGTATATGTTCATTTTTCCCAACATTATTTATTGAATGGACTGTCTTTGCCCCATTATATGTTATTGCAAACTTTGTCAAATATCAATTGACCATAAAAGAGTGGATTTATTTCAGGGCTTTCTATTCTGTTCTATTGATCTATCTGTCTGTTTTTATGCCAGTATCATGCTGTTTTGATTCCTATGGCCTTGTAGTATAGTTTTATATCAGGTAGGGTTTCTCCAACTTTGTACTTTCTCAAGATTACTGTGACAGTTCTGCGTCTTTTGTAGTTCCGTATAATTTTTTGAAATATTTGTTCTAGTTCTGTAAAATATTCCATTGATATATTGATAAGAATTTTGTTGAACCCATAGATTGTTTTCAGTAGTATGAGCATTTTAATGATGTTAATTCTTCCTATCCATGAACATAGTATATGCTTGTACTTATTTGTATCTTCTTCAATTACTTTTCTCAGGTTTCTTTTTCTTTTCTTTTTTTTTTCTTTTTTTTTTTTTAAGTACAGATCTTTTATAGTCTGGACTCAGTTTATTCCTAGGTATTATTTTTATGAAATTGTAAATGGGATTATTTTCTTAGTTTCCTTTTTTGATAGTTTATTACTGGTATGTATGAATGCAACTGATTTCTGAATTTTTTTTTTTTTGTATCCTGATACTTTACTGATTTCATTTCTAACTTTTAGCAGTTTTTGGTGGAATCTTTAGGTATCTTAGGAATCTTTAGGATAGGTGACAGTATCATGTCATCTGCAAATAATGACTGTTTTAGTTCTTTCTTTCCAATTTGGATGCCTTTTATTTTTTCATATTGTCTAATTACTGTGTTTAGGACTTTTAGTACTATGTTGAAAAAAGTGGTAAAAGCAGACATCATTTAAAATTGTAGGAGAAATAAAGAGTTTCCCAGACAAGAATAAGCTAAAGGAGCTTGTTACTATAAAACCAGTATTACAAGAAATGTTACAGGGTCTTTAAAAATAAAAAGACTGTTGAATGAACAAAGAGAAAGTGAGCACACCCCTTGACAAGTATGGGAAGAGGTTCTTGGGCCTAACAATATGGATAGGGTTAAGGCATTGCCACCTACTTTGTGGCATCTAACCATCATTTTTAAAAGAAGACGTAGAAAAAAACAAAACAGAGGAACATAGTTAAAAGAGTAAAATGACAATAAATACATACCTATCAGTACTCACTTTAATTGTAAATGGCTTAAATGTTCCAATCAAAAGACACAGTAGCTGAATGGGTAAAAAAAAATAAGACCCATGCTGTCTACAGGAGACCCATCTCAGAACAAAAGGTGCACACAGACTAAAAATAAATGGATGAAAAAAATATATTTTGTGCAAATGGACATAAAAAACCTGGAGTAACGATACTTTATATTTATATAACAAAAATAGACCCAAAAAAAGGCTATAGTAAAAGACAAAGGAGGATAGTACATAATGAAAAAGGGAAGAATCCAAAAAGAGGATATTACTTTCGTAAACATTTATGCACCCAACATAAGATTATTTATATATAAAGCAAATCTTGATGGACATAAAAGGAGAGATCAATAGTAACACAGGCACAGTAGGAGATTTTAATATCTCATTGACAGCAACATATAGATCTTCAGGACAGAAAATCAGCAAGGAAATAGCAGCCTTAAATGACTCACTAGATCCAATAGATGTATTTGATATATTCAGAGCACTTCATCCCAAAGCAGCAGAATATACATTCTTTTCGAGTGCACATGAAACATTTTCTAGGAGAGACCACATGTGGGGACACAAAACAAGTCTCAATAAATTTAAGATTGAAATCACATCAAGCCTCTTCTGAGACAAAAATGCTATGAAACTAGAACTGAATCACAAGGAAAAAAAATGAAAAACACACACAAAGATACAGAAGCTAAATAACATGTTACTAAACAATGAATGGGATAACAATGGGGTAAAGAAAGAAATCAAAATATACCTTGAAACAAATGAAAATAAGAACATAGCAAACTAAAGTCTACAGGACACAGCAAAGAGTTCTAAGAGGGAAATTAATAGCATTACAGGTCTACCTAAAGAAACAAACAAAAAAAGTCAAATAAACAATCTATTTATACTTTAAGAAACTATAAATTAAACAATGAACAAAGCCCAAAGTGAGTAGAAGAAAGGAGATAATAAAGATCAGAGCAGAAATAAATGAAATAGAATTTAAAAAGATAATACAAAAGATCAATGAAACCAAGTGCTGGGTTTGTTTTGTTTAAAAAAAGTTGCTAAACCTTTGATTAAACTCCTCAAGAAAAAAAGAGAGCTGAAATAAATAAAATCAGAAATAAAATGAGAGGCAACAACTTACATCAAAGAAATACACAGGGTTGTAAGAAAATACTATGAACAATCACACATCAAAAAATTGGACAATCTGGATGAAATGGACAAAATCCTAGAAACATCTTCCAAAACTGAATAAGAATCAGCAAATCTGAATAGACAGATTACAACTACTGAAATTGAAGCAGTAATCAAAAACTCAACAAACAAAAGTCTTGAACTGGATGGCTTCACAGGTAAATTTTACCAAACATTCAAAAAAGAGATAACATTTCTCCTTCTCAAAGTATCCCCAAAAATTTAAGAGTAGGGTACATTCCCACGCTCACTTTATGAAGCAAGCATTATTCTAATTCCAAAAACAGATTAGACATACTGAGAAAGAAAATTATAGGACAATGTCCCTAATGAACATAGATGTTAAAATCCTCAACAAAATACTACAAACTGGATCCAGCAATATGTTAAAAAGATCATACACCATGATCAAGTGGGATCTATTCCTGGGATGCAAGGTTGGTACAATATCTGCAAATCAATGAATGTTGTACACCACATAAACGAAATGAATTATTAAAATCACGTGATCATAATCAATGGATGCAGAAAAAACATTTGATAAAATCCAGCATCCATTTATGATAAAAACTCTTTCAGCACACTGAGGATAGAGGGGACATACTTCAATGTAATAAAGGCCACATGTGACAAACCTGCAGCCAGTATTATACTCAATGGGCAAAAACTAAAAGCTTTTCCCTCAAAATTGGGAACAAGGCAGGGATGTGCCCTTGTTTTTGACTGAAGTCATTTAAAAGCCATCAGAAGCATTCCAAAGTTTAGCTTGGATTGCCCTCTGCTGGTCATATAAATTAAAAACTATTTCACAATAGAGCTCCTCACATACAGGTTGAACTTGTTATTTTGTTTTAGTTAATTGGAGCACACTGATTGTCAATAGCCCTTAAGTTGTAATCATATAATCACAAACAGATGTTTTATATAAGCTTCTCTTAATATTGATTGCTTAGTGAATGAATAGCTTGTGAAGTTTTTAAAAATGTTCTCATAGATGATAGATAAGTAGGCAGATAAGATGATGGATAGATGAAAGGATAAGTAGATAGGTGGTATTTGATATAAAGATAAAATTGTAGTGTCTAAGTTGTATAGGGCAACTAATATATAATGCTATAGGTTGATTTATGTCCCCCAAAACTCATGTGTTGAAGTTCTAACTCCAGTAACAAAATGTGACTGCATTTGGAAATAGAGTCTTTTCATATATAATTAGCACAGATGAGGTCATCCTGGAATAGACTGGGTCTCTAATCTAGTAAGACTGATGTCCTTATAAAAAGGAGAAATTTGAACACACACATACATGTAAACAAACATCCACACAGGAAGGATATCATGTAAACATGGAGGAATAGGGAGAAGCTCCTATAGGCCAACAGATGCAAAGAACAGCCAGCAAACCACCAGACAAGAGGCCTGGAGCAGATTCTCACAGCCTCAAAAGTAACTAACCCTGCCCACACTTTGATCTCAAAGTTCTAGATGACACATCTATGATAGAGAATAAATGTTTTGTTTGAGCCATCTAGCCTGTAGCTCAAAACTTTGACACAGCAGCCCTGGGAACTAAGGCAAATGTAAACTTAGAAATGCAAAACTCATGGCACGTTGGGAAGGTATGAAGAACACTGTAGCAACTGCCACATCCTGGCAACTGGGGTGGACCCAGAGCCTTGCAGTTGCTCCCTGATGGGACACTCCCACAGGCCTCTGCAGTCTCAGCATCATTGCCACTAGCACAGGAAAGACCAAAGCTCAAGACGAGGGCAGGCAGTAGGGAGGGGCAGAGCTGGATTAAAACTCAGATCTTTCAGCTTCCTGATTTGAAACTCTGCCTCTTCTGCTGGAAGAGAACTGTGCTGCCTCAGAGATCTGGTGTCTGTGAACATGCACGTGTGCACATGTATACATACATCTGTCTACACATACACCTGCATAGGAACACGTGTGCACTCTTATGCATGCATTCTCCCCTGCATGTACACGCACGCACGCATGCACAAACTCACACATAAAAATGCCTGTACATCCTCACACTCATACTACCACATGTTCACATACTCACTTTCACACTCTAACAGGTACACATATATATGCACATAAACACCTGTATATACACAGGCTGCACATTAATACAGACACAAAGTCATATATACAGCCCAATGACTAGGAAAAAAGTCATGTCTTAAATTTAATTCTTAGAAAAACAATCACCACCTGCCAGTAGCAGCCACTTCTATTCCTCGAAGTAAGGAGGTTGATCACCTTACTTCCTCTCATGGTATTCTGTACAGCAACACATTGGACCAGGGGACTCTTCACAGAAAATGAAGTTGCAGAAATAAAATAATGGGTTATGATGTTCCTTCTTTATTTGTCCATGAATATGTTAGTGTATAAACTACATAATTCTGTAGTGATGTTACAACAATTTATCACAAGCTGAGCAGCTTAAAATAACACAGATTTGTTATGTTACAGTTTGGGACATCTAGAGATTGATCCTGACCTCAATCTGCTATCATAAAGAGTTCTCAAAGTTGGATCCTTTTGGAGCTTCTACGGGAGAATCTGTTCTCTTGCCTTTTCCAGCTCCAAGAGGTCAAATCCATATTCTTTTTCTCATGGCTCTTTCATCTTGAAAGCCGTCAGTGGCAGATTGAGTCCTCATACCACATCCCTCTGTCCTCCTCCCTCCTCTGCCACCTTCATCCACTGATAACGATGCTATAGTTATATTGGCCCATGAGGATAATCCAGGATAGCATCCCCTACCTTAAAGTCGGCAGACCAACAACTTAATTCCATCATCACCATAGTGCCCCTTCTCCACGAAAGTCGCCACACCCACAAGTCTGGGGACTGGAGCATGGACATCCTTGGGGGTTTTATGCTGCCCAGTACATTGCCCCATTTATTTCTCCCCCCTCACCATTCTCCAACCATGTAATAAAAGCTGTGCCTAACAGTGCCTGCTCTGTGTCTCAGGGTGTAAAGACATTGAAGGAGGAGTGTGACCCAGAAAAAGAAATAGCAGCACAGACAGCTTTTTCCCTAGTTATTTGAAATATAAATGAAAATATAATAAAAATGGAAAAAGTAATTCCAGTAAAGTCTCCCTCACCTATTAGAGCCTCGATAATGGGCTGTTTTAATTACGCTGTCAGCTGACTGGACTCTGGACTAAACGAGCCCCGATGGGTTTGGTTTTTAACTGTGCCTCTTTTAATTTTGCAGCTGTTAACTCAGTATAATGTATTAACAAATATTGCCATCAAAGCATGTTAAATAGCCTACCCAAATTTCTGCAAGAAAAGTGTAGAATTTTTGAGATCTTCAGTCACCTGCATTTAAGCAACATGTTGTATGGTAAATGTGTCTTCTGTCACATGTGCCACCAGGGGGCACTGTGGAGCTGAAGAGGAATTCATAGTCCTAAAAGGCATCTAGTTACACCACAGGAAAGGCGACAGGCAATGGATTTTGTTAGGACCTTATTCAGTAAGATCTTTGGGGATGGCAGAAAAGTGTCTTATTAAGGCCAGTTTATCAATTTTTAAAACAATATTTGTGAACAGTTTTTACTTGTAATAATTTTGTCTTTGCTGATTTTTTTCAAAATTGTCTCTGAGTTATCCTCTGTCATTCTGTAATTAGTTATTTTCATTGAAAAAATGTTTTATCTTCCTTTGACTGGCACAC